GGGTGTGAAGAGGTAATTGATGGGAAGGTTTGAGTTGTGTTCAATCACTCAATGCTGTAATTTTGATTCTAACTTCATCTAATGGTAAATATCAATCATAGTATGCATTATGAAACTTTTTTTTTAAATCTTCAACTTCTGAAACCAATTTTGGTTTTCCAAAGTTACAATGTAAAAATGTTACCTTTTTTCTACTTATGCTGACTCAATTCTTCAGCCAGTACCAGACACTTCCTTGGTTCTCTTTCATGCTTAGTGACACTTGCATCATCTCTCAAACCATTCATAACCTCATCACCTCAGGTGACCTCCCACCCACTGCCTCCAACCTCATCGTTCCCCAACCCCGCACTGGCCGTTTCTACGTCCTTCCCAAAATCCACAAACTTGACTGTCCCGGCTGACCCATTGTTTCTGCTCGCTCCTGCCGCACTGAACTTATCTCCACTTATCTTGACTCTGTTTACTCCCCTTGGTCCAGGAGCTCCCCACCTACATCCGGGACACTTCCACCTCCTCCAAGACTTCCAATTCCCTGGCCCCCAACACTTCATCTTCACTATGGACATCCAATTCCTGTACATTTGTATCCCCCACACAGATGGCCGAAAAGCTCCCCGCTTCTTCTTCTCCCAAAGACCCAATCAGTTCCCCTCCACCAACACCCTCATCCGCTTAACCAAACTCGTCCTTACCCTTAACAACTTCTCCCACTTCCTACAGACTAAGGGGGTGGCCATGGGAACCTGCATGGGCCCAAGCTTTGCCTGCCTCTTCGTATGACATGTGGAACAGTCCCTCTTCCACTGCTACACTGGCACTATCCCCCACCTCTTCCTCCACTACACTGATGACTGTATCTGCGCTGCCTCGTGCTCCCAGAAGGAGCTTGAACAGTTCATTAAATTTACTAACACCTTTCAGCCCAACCTCAAATTCACCTGGACCATCTCCGATATCTCTCTCTCCTTCCTGGACCTCTCTGTCTCCATCTCTGGTGACCACCTCGAAACTGACATCTATTTCAAGCCCACCGACTCCCACAGCTACGTAGACTACACCTCCTCTCACCTACCTTCCTGCAAGAATGCGATCCCCTGCTCCCAATTCCTTTGGTGGTTGAAAATGCTCGACTGTATCTCTTCTGTTTCCTGCACCTCTGCCCTCATATCCTCTCCCCCCGAACAATAACAAAGACAGAATCCGCCTTGTCCTCACATATCACCCCAACCTCCGTACCCAACATTTCATTCTCTGCCACTTCCGCCACCTACAATCTGACCCCACAACCAAAGATATATTTTCCTCCCCACCCCAATCTTCCTTTTGTAGGGACCGCTCTCTCCATGACTCCCTCGTCCGCTCCACACTCCCCACTAACCCCACCACCCCCGGCACCTTTCCCTGCAACTGCAGCAAGTGCTACACCTGCCCCTACACCTCCCCCCTCACCTCCATTCAAGGCACCAAACAAACCTTTCACATCAGACAGGAGTTCACCTGCACATCCATCAATGCGGCCTCCTCTACATCGGTGAGACCAAGCGGAGGCTCAGAGACTGCATCGTAGAGCACCTGCGCTCTGTTCATGTCAAATGACAACATCTTCCAGTCATGAACCACTTCAACACCCCCTCCCACTCCCACTCCCACTCCCTGGGTGACACGTCCATCCTGGGCCTCCTCCAGTGTCACAACGACACCATCCGGAAACTGGAGGAGCAGCACCTTATATTCTGCCTTGGGAGCCTACAGCCCTATGGCCAAAATGTGGATTTTACCAGTTTCAAAATCTCCCCACTCCCAGCCTCAGCCCATGACCAACCCTCCCTCTCATCCCCGCCTCCTTTATCTGACACAACCTGTCCATCTCCTCTCCCACCTACCCGCTCCTCCCACCTCACTGACCAATCCTCACCACTGCCTACCTGCACTCACCTATTACCATCCCACCTACCTTTCCCAGCCCCACCTCTCCTTTCTATTTATTTCTGAGCTCCCTTCCCCCTCCCCCAGTTCTGAAGAAAGGCCCCGGCCTGAAACGTCAACTTTCCTGCTCCTTTGATGCAGTCTGGCCTGCTGTGTTCCTCCAGCTCCACACTGCATTATCTCTGACTCCAGCATCAGCAGTTCCTACTGTCTCTGAGTGCACGTGCTTATATTTGTTTCTACAGCTGTGTTTTTTCTGGAACTAGTCACCAGAGGCTACAGTTTCACAACGGCCATTTCACATCAAGCATAGCTGACCAGGAATCTCTCCCACTCTTAATTCCTGCCAGAGGTTTGTTGGAAAAAATTACAAGTTGATCAACCTGTTTGTCCAAGTTCTGAATGCACTCTCCAATCCTACTAGTACTGGATGAAGCCTCAAACACAGAGCAACTGAATCAGAAACAGCCACAAGCCCTCATGCCAGAAACTAACTGTGATTTATTTTCTTTTATAAGAAGTCACTCAAACTGATCTGCAGAAGGGTTTTATCATTGTTATTCATAAATTGTTGGCAGAAACAAAAGTGTTTTACAGGTATTGGTAAAGTGGTATTCAAAGTTAATAACTAGATTAAAAAAGGACTATCAGAAGGATGTTCTGGATTTTATTCTTAGCAGCTTTGAAAAACAAAAGCAAAAAGGCAATATTGAATTTGTAGAGGAAAGACCACTTTTAATATGGATGTGTACTTCTGCCACCTTATTGCACGAAAGCTATTAGAGTCACACGGAATGTGAATATTCATGAGAAAATGAGATACTATAGTTATGAAGAAAAAAATGATTTTCTTAAACCTCATTGGCATGGAAAAAGTTAAGGCAGCAAAGAGAAATTGGGAAAGGCTGGGGCTTGTTAACTCAGTTGACTAACTGGCTATCATATGATTTAGAATTATGCCAACAGTGAGAGTCTGATTCTCATTCTGTTTGCAATAAGCTTGTGATCTGCCTCCATGCTTTGCCTAAGTGTGGAAGATGATGGCAAACCACCACTGAAGGAAACAGCTCAGAAGAAAGTTTCAGCATAGATAATGAACTAAGGACCAGCTTTTTGATATACAGCACTCATGAATGGGACTTAACTGCAATTCTTCAAAATGATTAGTTGTCATTGCCACAGGCTTGATGGGCTAAGTTGTTTCTTATTACTCATTTTTGAAACCTTGAATTGAATTCAGTTTGGCCTGGTAATTTTCTTTTTTGAAATGACAGCTGTATCAGTCCATGGGAAATGTGAGCTGGCACTAATCCAATTGAGTTGACTGGTGTTCACAGTGCAGACCTGGTCTAGAGAGGTGGCAGAATGGTTAACACAATAAAAGTTATTTTTCAGGGCCCATTGAGGGGTTAGTGGAAAGTGAACATCTAACTAACCAAGCGATAACAAGGTGTAGAGCTGGATGAACACAGCAGGCCAAGCAGCATCATAGGAGCAGGAAGGCTGACGTTTCGGGCCTAGACCATTCATCAGAAAACGTTAGATTTTAACCCCACTGCGAAGCCTCTTCTAAGGATGCCTAGCCTGAAGAAGTTACCCTCCTCCCTCCGGACAAAAAAAATTTTCTGCTGAAGGGTCTAGGCCCGAAACGTCACCCTTCCTGCTCCTATGATGCTGCTTGGCCTACACATCCAGCTGTACACCTTGTTATCTCAGATTCTCCAGCATCTGCAGTTCCTATTATCTCTGATCTAACTAACCAACACTGATCTAAATGGAAAATCAGTCAACTCCCCCCCCAAGTTTTCAGGTCTTTGAAAACCCAAGCCTGGTGTAAACTAATCAGTGGTTATTGATTTCCCAGGGTCTCTCTTTGAGTTAGTATTAATCAATCTGTACAGACATGTACGACACACCTCCAGAGCAGGTGGGACTTCAACCTGGAACAGCTGGCATAGAAGTGTTACATTTATGCTTCTGAATCTGGTCTCTGGCCATTCACTCGATTTAAAAGTTTCATTTGCTGGGATGAACATCCCTCTCCTTATGGATACAGGTAGATACAGGATAAAATACTACAACATCAAATTCATGTACTTGTAGACAAAAGACTTTAGAAATAAATGAAATAAAAGCTACAAACATGAACTTCTATTTTCTTCAGAATATTTATGTAGAATCTGAAACCTTTTGTTTTTTTAAAAAAATAAATCTTTCCGCATTTCAATTTCTAACTTTGCCATTGGTCCAAAGTGGGTGTCATCTTCGAAATCCGAACCTTATCGCACTAAATCTCCCTGCTAGACTTTGTTCCCATTTTACTTGCTTTCATATAGATTCCTCTAACGCAGTTAAACTCAAGTCCTTGTCCCATTCAATTAACAGACAGGGAGCCTTCTTCAGAAATGGTTACATCCACGTAGTCGTCCTGGCTCCGAGAGAATGTCGGTGAGATGGCAGCACAAGTCCAAAAACTCATCCGCTGCCCATGTTTTTGTTGTCGACGTTAATGATAAAAACAGCAATTACTTGTCTATCCATATAAGGTAAACGATATTGTTTATCAGTGAAACTAGTGAAATTTCCTGACAGTACAGTGACAGTCAGGGACCCACGCATCAAAACATTATATCAGTAATATCAAAGTGAGGTACTGGATGATACTGGAGCCTAGGCTGGGTGGGGATCTAGACGGAGCAGGGCTTGCACTGAGCCTTCCAATACCTCGGCATTACACACTGCTCTTTCCCAAGCAACTCAGCCACCCACATCATTTTCCGACAGTGAGAACCTCTTCTTCTTACCAACCAAATTAACCAAATCTGGAAAGCAGATTGTCTACTCTGGTGGTGACTAATGGATTGAAACGAGCCTGTGGGACTTTCCAGCTGCTTTCCGTCGAAACATCAAGTTGAAAGAAGCCAGAAAATTGCTTTCGTTTTTTTTTCTAAATCAGACCCTGGGAATGAGAATGAGCCCAGTTCAGGTAGAATGGGACAGGCGGGGCTGTCACCATAACACACGTACACGCTGCACAACCCGTCCTTGTTAATAAAAAGAAATCTACTTACTGCAGAATACAAGACACAACCAAAATTCCCTCACGAGAAGGACTTTTCTAATCCTTTCGCTTGGATTTCTGTCTTCTTTCTTCCGCTGGTGCCGGAAATGAAAGTTAAAAGAACTTTCCTGCTGCAGCTCAACAGAACGATCGAGCCACCTGGGGGCGGAACAAAGCTCTCTGTCCCACACTTCTACTACTCCAGCCCATGATTTGCACACAGTCTCCAGCCGGCCCTCCTCTTTGAGAAATAGCTGAGCTGCCTAGATTACCAAAGCTGCAGACTTCATTCTGCCAGCTGTGCTAAATCGATGCACTCCAACCTGTTGGGGTTCAGCTAGTCAGATAAATAGCTTGCTTGCAAACATAAACGACGCTTGAAGTTCTATAACCAGCAAGCGCACGGATCAAGAGCTAGAAAGTGGAATGAGGCTAAACTCTTTTACTGCCGAGCACAAGACACAGCGCTTGAATTTTTTTAACGTGAAGTTATGGATGTGAACAGTACCATAGCGAGAGGTGGGGATGGGACAAAGCAGAAGCAGACAAGCAAAACACTGCCATCCGTAGGAGAAATTGCTTCTTGCAAGACAAAGGACAGGTCGGAAAAGTGACTGTAGATTTACAGATTTTGAAAATGGTACCTTTTAAATTGGTTATCACCTGAGGTTCTAACAATCGCCTGACTCTGATCCATCTATTACATATTCTACACAGCACAGAGACAGGCCATTCAGCCCAACTAATCTGTGCTGGTATTTATACTCCATAGGAGGTTTTTCCTGTTCCGCTTCTCATCGCAGTTCTTCAGTATTTCTATTTTCCTCTTGAAAGCAGCCATGTCATTTGCCTCCATGACTTCTTATGATAGAGTTCCGCATTCTAATTATTTTTGGGCTAACATGTATCCTATTTTCTGACTGAATACATGGTCTTGAACTTAGTTATAGAACAGCCCAGCTTGGAAACAGACCCTTCAGTCCGACTCTTCCAAGCCAACCAGATGTTCTAAATCAATCCAGTTGCATTCGCCAGTATTTGGCTCGTATCCCTCTAAACCCTTTATCTTCAATTCTTCTATTTCCTTTGTTCAATCTTTCCTGATATCCATTCTCTCTAATTTCTGGTAGTACACTTCTAATTTAAAAAAACACTGGAATAGTTATATCCATTTAGAGTACAGGGATCAGATTAAACAGTACCTGTAACCTTACCAAGTCCTACATAAACTTAGCATAGTTCACTACTTTTAATTCTAGACACTTTGGAATAAATTGTGGTCTTTTGTTTTCATTTTAATTATGTTGCTGACGTGCAATGCTGATTTGTGGTTTGTTCCCATAAATCTCTGGAGTCCTTTGCTTTTACCCATTTCAGCTTCTTATTTTCTAAGGTGTGAGCAATGTTTCTGGTTTTCCAACCAAATTGTACCATCTCATATTTATCCTGGTTGGTTTCATTTGTCACATAACTGGACAGGTCACTAATTTCATCTTGTACTGTGTTGTATTCTTTGCCAGCGTTAGCTAAACTCCTGAATTCTATATTTTTTATCATTGTCACGATTGTTCAACTTTTTTCTCAAAGCACTACAAATCTTTGCTGATATTCAGTAATCTGCTGGCCTAGTGCCTCATATCATGTAACATACACATTTCAGAAACTTTGGCATTGCCAATGTTTTATTTCATGACCAGGTCATGTCTCAAACTCAAATTGTTGTCCCAGCTTTGACTGCACAAGGCTGGGAGTATGCGGCACCTGTGGTACTGTGGATACAGATGTCATCTAAATCCCTTCCTCACTCGTGAATGAAGCTGAGGAAGAGCAGCAACAAGGTCTGAAGCACATAAGTGGAAAGGATAGGGTTAAGAAAGAACAGATGCTGGAATAAAATACATGATTTTCAGAGGTATGGGGTAACGTTGCCGACAGAGAAGGGGTATGATGATCTTGTAAAAATAACCTGCTTACAGGTTACAGAGGGAACTATGGAAATGAAGAATGGAGGACGGTGCTACATTGCCTTCAATGCTTAGAAAATGAAAAGACCTCTGGTCACTTTCACAGAATTATTATGCATCAATTATTGGCAAATAGCAATGTAGGACAGTGCTAAACAACATCTACATTTCAGAGTACAGGAAAAAATATTCTATCAAAAAGAAAGAACAAACTAAACACGAATGCGATGCCATGGATGAATAAAATCATAAGAAAACAATAGATAGATAGTAAAGAAAAGTGCTTATAATCAATATAAGGACAGTAGAAGAGTGCATGATAAAAGAGAATACAGAGAGATTAGGACAGAAGTCAACAAAAACAATTAGAAAAGCAAGGATAAACAATGAAATTAAATGGTCGTGGATCATAAGATGTTATTTGTAAAATTATTTTATAGGCACACCAATACAAACAGAAGGCTAGGGTGCAAAAAGGCCATTAAGAGATAGACAGGATAATACCTGTTAACGAAAGAGAGATGGCATATGTAACCTTGATAAATGCAGGTATTTTCAGATTCTCAACTTTTATGGATTATAAAGTTTAGGGAAAAGATCAATATTTTCAGTTCATAAATTCACATCGCATGGTCTACATTCCAAGTCCAGTACAACATGATCAATATGAGGCGCATAAGACTTCACATGTTCAATATGTAAGATATTTGTCCACCATGGCTTTGGATGGAGAGTTTCTAATAAACACTTAATCCTTAAGGCCACTGTCTCTGCCCAAGCTTGCCACTCCGGATTAGTAAATATCCTCTTTTCACAACGCATCCCACAGTTTGTTTCAACTTCTGACCGGTTGCCTGGTCCTTTCCATCTTGAGTTGCATATGCTGTCTTTATTAGTACACGTTTTAAATGATGATGTGAATGCTGGAGTTGTAGGATCAGAGTCGCTCCCAGATTCCTCAGTACTCAAGCTTCGAAGCTCTGCTGTTAAACTCTGCTGCTGTGCTTTAGAAGAACCGCTATCAAAATTCTGCCTGTTGAAGTGTGCGTCTCTGTTCTCAGCATACAGGCTGATATTATGGTGAATATGGAAAATCCCTCCCTTATCCTCTCTTAACAATTGGCATGCTATAGGCCATCCATCTTCTGAACGTGGAATAAGTCCCAAATTCACTCGATCTGCCAGGTTGCGTAGAGAGAGCTGAGAAACACAATGGAGTTTAATTATAAATTTATAACCAAGGAATATTTCAAACATTTCTTTACAAATGCAAATTAGAATGAAAAGGAAGATCTCTATCAAGGTACCTCGACCTACTGTATTTTAGCTAACGTGGGAGCCAAAGGTAGATACCTGGGAATAGCTTTTCACGGTTCCAGTATCCACTAAAAGAAGAAAAGCTGTACTGTAAACTATGAGCTGTCTGTGAACCATTTGGTCAAATTGCTGTGAGCACCTTTGGGACCATAAACGTATCTTTGAATTGATTTTCTAACATTACACAACTGCGATAGAAGGCTAAGGAAATTCGGCATGTCCACAATTTGACTCTTAACAATTTTTACAGATGTACCACAGAAAGCATTCTATCCAGATGCTTTACAGTTTGGTATGGCAATTGCTCTGCCCAAGTCCACAAGAAATTACAGAGAGTTGTGAACCCAGCCCAGTCAATCACAAAAACCAACCTTCATTCCATTGACTCTGTGTACACTTCCCTCTGCCTTGGGAAAGCAGCCAACATAATCAAAGACCCCTTCTACCCTGGTTATACTCTCTTCCACCCTCTTCCATTGGGCAGAAGATACAGAAGTTTGAAAACACATACGGACAGATTCAAGAACATATTCTTCCCTGCTGTTATCAGATTTATGAATGGACCTCTCATATAGTTGAGTTGATCTTTCTCTGCACCTTCTCTGTAGCTGTAACATTATATTCTATGTTCTGTTCTATTACCCTGATGTACTTGTGTATGATATGATTTGTTGAGTTATCATGCAAAACAATACTTTTCGCTGTATCTCGGTATGTGACAATACTAAATCAAACCAAGTCAAAACAAATCCTGCTGAAATATGGCACCAAAATTATATCTGTAGATGGCTGTCAGTTGGGTTCAAACGAGTGAGCATAACCCAGAAGACAACTCAATGATTGGAAAGTAAACAATTTTGACTTCAGTGTTCTGAGTCCTCCTGCTATGCAGCAGCCAACACTATTTCACAACTCAATTTCAAAACTCAATTTCAATGGTATTTAGAGAGAAATGCATCACTCTGACAAACTGGATCCCAATACACAGGAAAACATCCCAGGAGAGACCCAAATAAAGGCATCTCAATAATCAAATTATGCTGATGCTTTGATGAGAACACAGTCAAGCGCCTTCAGGCCAGGCATGCCCAGCATAAAGCCAATGCCTCTGTCTAATTCTCCAATACTAATTTCATATTCAGTATTTGCACCCAATTATAGCATTCATGCAGAGAAAACTTGTTTTGCTGAACGCACATTCATCAAAGCGATGGGAAAATTTATCATTGTGCAGATGGAAAATGGAGGTTCACATGCACGAAGATTGGTGCAGATAGAGAAAGAAAAACACTTGGATTTAACAATGTTTCATTTTATTTTCTCAGCTGGATAACTTCTTTTCCCTGAATGGTCTTTCACCACAAGTGTTATCGCAGAGCAAAAGCTAATCTTACAGCCTCGTCTAAATGAGTTCTCAGGCTCTCACCAACATTTTACATGGTCAATCGTAAAGACTACTGCCTATAACTCTCTGCTTTCTCTTCCTTTCTTCCAATTCTTGCAAACTGACCCATTTATTCAGATTCAGTGATAATTTAGAAACCATGTAAGCCATTACTAGAATGACTTTCTGTGGACTCCAATTCTGTCATAGTCTGTCTCCGCAGCAACATAAATCACATGAACCAGGCAGAAGAGCCGATTATCTTTAAAACTCCAAATTGCATTTTATCTCAGAATTAAATAGTTAAAGTATAGCTATTTATAAAACCTGACAGTCCACGTGAACCTTGGAGACCAAGTCACCTCAGCCCATGTCTGCGTGGATTTCCTTTGGGTGCTCCAGTTTCCTTCCATGGACCAAAGATGTGCAAGTTAGGTGGATTGACCATTCTAAATTACCCGTAGTGTCCAGGAATGTGCACGCTGGGAAATACAGGGTTACAGGGCTATGGTAGGAGTGGGTCCGGATGGGATGCTGTTCATAGGGTCGATGTGGACTTAATGGGCCGAATGACCTGCTTCCACACTGTAGGGAGTCTATGTTAGAGAAACTCAGCAGGTCTGACAGCATCTGTGGAGAGGGAAACAGAGTTAATGTTTTCAGTCCAGTATGACTTCTTAAGAACTTAAGATGTTGAAAAATGTTTTTTTTAAATACTTTTGACAGGGCAGAGGCCCAGCGCAAAAGACAAAGGAGTTGTTGTTAATGGTGGAGAAAGAAACAAAAAGATGAAATCAGGTATAAATTAAATAAATTACAATACCTTAATTTACACCCATTTTACATTTATTTCTTTCTGCACTATTAATAACCTCTTTGTCTCTTGCTCTGGGCCTTTGCCTCTGTCACATTAGCTGAGAGAACAGAGAATTCCAGTTTGATCATGGTGGATTGGTGGTAGGGAAACTGCATTTGCCACCAACATGCAAATTAAGCCAAGGCTATCAAATGCAAGCCAATGACCACAGACATGCAGGAGGTGTCTTCTGCTTTAAACAGGATAACAGATACATTATCAGGGCCTTGAACACATCATTGATTTCTAGCAGGATTGTTGCAGAATGTTTTGAGTGATGTATGACCAGCCCAGGAGAAGAACCATGATGATGAAAAGGTTTGGATTAGATGTAAAGTGGTCCCAATTTTCATACATTACCTCCCTCAGCCAGTGCTCAACAAGCTGCTTCATGTCTAGATGGCCACATGCACAGTGGTAGGAGTAGACCACAGGATTGCATTTCTCATGATTTACATTATATAAACCTTCATCATGATTAGGTGATTCAACAATATGAGTGCTTGGTCTGGTGATGGATGCCCTGCATTTATACTCCTCCTCCTCACAATCTTGTCAGAACCTGACTAATCCTGTGTCATCCTCTAATGCAATCCTTTCTGCTGTACAACATTATGTACACCTTCACTGGTAAGGATTGATGGGTTCTTCCAAATCTACCTAGACACCTGAACAGCATCTTCAACATTGAAGCTAACTTGATTGATAATACCACTGAAGGTCATATGATTTTATGCTATTATGATCCTGTGTTTCACTGGTGGGATTCCTCGTATGTACCCTAAACCCTAAAGCTTTCTATAGGTATGTCAGGACTAAAAGAATGACTAGAGTAAGATTAGGGCCGGTCAAGGACAGTAGTGGGAAGTTGTGCGTGGAGTCCGAAGAGATAGGAGAGGTGCTAAATGAATATTTTTCGTCAGTATTCACACAGGAAAAAGACAATGTTGTCGAGGAGAATACTGAGATACAGTCTATGAGACTAGACGGGATTGAGGTTCATAAGGAGGAGGTGTTAGCAATTCTGGAAGGTGTGAAAATAGATAAGTCCCCTGGGCCGGATGGGATTTATCCTAGGATTCTCTGGGAAGCTAGAGAGGAGATTGCAGAGCCTTTGGCTTTGATCTTTATGTCGTCATTGTCTTCAGGAATAATGCCAGAAGACTGGAGACTAGCAAATGTTGTCCCCTTGTTCAAGAAGGGGAGTAGAGACAACCCTGGTAATTATAGACCAGTGAGCCTTACTTCGGTTGTGGGTAAAGTGTTGGAAGGGATTATAAGAGATAGAATTTATAATCATCTAGAAAGGAATAATTTGATTAGGGATAGTCAACACGGTTTTGTGAAGGGTAGGTCGTGCCTCACTAACCTTATTGAGTTCTTCGAGAAGGTGACCAAACAAGTGGATGAGGGTAAAGCGGTTGATGTGGTGTATATGGATTTTAGTAAAGCGTTTGATAAGGTTCCCCATGCAGAAAATACGGAGGCATGGGATTGAGGGTGATTTAGCGGTTTGGATCAGAAATTGGCTAGCTGTAGGAAGACAGAGGGTGGTGGTTGATGGGAAATGTTCATCCTGGAGTTCAGTTACTAGTGGCGTACCTCAAGGATCTGTTTTGGGGCCACTGCTGTTTGTCATTTTTATAAATGACCTGGATGAGGGCGTAGAAGGGTGGGTTAGTAAATTTGCGGATGACACCAAAGTTGGTGGAGTTGTGGATAGTGCGGAAGGATGTTGCAGGTTACAGAGGGACATAGATAAGCTGCAGAGCTGGGCTGAGAGGTGGCAAATGGAGTTTAATGCGGAAAAGTGTGAGGTGATTCACTTTGGAAGGAGTAACAGGAATACAGAGTACTGGGCTAATGGTAAGGTTCTTGGTAGTGTGGATGAGCAGAGAGATCTCGGTGTCCATGTGCATAGATCACTGAAAGTTGCCACCCAGGTTGATAGCGTTGTTAAGAAGGTATACGGTATGTTAGGTTTTATTGGTAGAGGGATTGAGTTTCGGAGCCATGAGGTCATGTTGCAGCTGTACAAAACTCTGGTGCGGCCGCACTTGGAGTATTGCGTACAGTTCTGGTCACCGCATTATAGGAAGGATGTGGAAGCATTGGAAAGGGTGCAGAGGAGATTTACCAGGATGTTGCCTGGTATGGAGGGAAGGTCTTATGAGGAAAGGCTGAGGGTCTTGAGGCTGTTTTCGTTAGAGAGAAGAAGGTTAAGAGGTGACTTGATAGAGACATACAAGATGATCAGAGGATTAGATAGGGTGGACAGTGGGAGCCTTTTTCCTCGGATGGTGATGGCTAGCACGAGGGGACATAGCTTTAAATTGAGGGGCGATAGATATAGGACAGATGTCAGAGGTAGGTTCTTTACTCAGAGAGTAGTAAGGGCGTGGAATGCCCTGCCTGCAAAAGTAGTAGACTCGCCAACTTTAAGGGCATTTAAATGGTCATTGGATAAACATATGGATGATAATGGAATAGTTTAGGTTAGATGGGCTTCAGATTGGTTTCACAGGTCGGTGCAACATCGAGGGCCGAAGGGCCTGTACTGCGCTGTAATGTTCTATGTTCTACCATGACCCAAATTGGAAGACGGCACATTCTTTCTCTACTACAGAAAAGCTTTCTCCAACTCAAAATTCTGTTTTACCACCAACATCTCAAGAACATCAATGCTTTTCTGTGACATCTGTGTAATACATGCATTTTTCACATGTCTATTTCTGTGTCTCATGCAATGGAGACCGACAATATGTACCAAATTATTAACAACTTCGTAACTGAAAATAGGATCATTACACGAGAGAAAGGAGATTTTATTTCTTCATTCTGGCCTTGACTAAAACCTAGGTACTATGTATAATAGAAGAGTTTGAACCAACTCTCATTATCATTTCAAAAGGTGAAGTCATTTTTATAAAAATGTAACTGCAAGGGGCAATTAAATTACTGATAAAGGACACACAGTCTAACCATGATGGTTAATAAATCCTTGTATCTTTTCAATTTACGTCTTTCTTTCCTGCTTTCTATTCTCTACATTCAATCAGTTTTATAGCAATTTCTTATTCATTTTAAAAACTCAAGTGACAGCTCAGAATTGATGCAAATATTGGTCCAAAACACCAAAACCACAAATGGATGAACTTATGGATCTCTGTACTGATGCCCACTTCAGAGTGTAGATAGAACTTTAGAAAATTAAAGTAATAAAGACCATTGGGTCTACAAAGGTCCACTCATTCCATAGACCATGTATAAGTCATCTATCATTTACCTCACTGACCCAATAAATCTCCTGGAAGAAAATCCACATTAAAGACTCCCAAAGACATCCCTTACCCCTCACATACGCCATATGTCCGATCTGCGTCATGACATGCCATCTACTACCAAGATCCCTCATACCTTCCGGACCACTAGCTTCTCTACCTGCATGCAATGGCCCCCCTTTTCTCTGTGCCTCCTTATTTTTCACACATCTGCACGACACTTTGTAACTGTAATATCACCCCTTTCCCCTCTGCCCATATCCACAGCCCTATATAGTCTCATATTAACTTAGTGCTAACTCATGTCAACCCACTGCTGTTTGCCCTCACACCCTCAATAGCAACTCAACCAGTATGCAACATGGGCAGATTTCAAGAAATGTGGACATTAAATAGAGGATCTTCCTACCAAATGAAGCTCCACTGTTAACTAATACAGCCTGCGTGAAGCTCAGTGTGACAATGAGGTGAGCTTGCAACTTCCAGTTGATTTTGTGTTCAAAAGGAGAAAAATTTAAAAGGGACCTGAGGGGCAACTTTTTCCACACAGATGGTGTTTTATATGTGGAATGAACTGCCAGAGGAAAAGGTAGATGCAGGTACAGTTGCAACATTTAAAAGACATTTGGATAGGTGCAAAAATAGGAAAGGTTTAGAGGGATATTGGGTAGGCACAGGTAAATGGGACTAGTTTAGTTTGGGAAACGTGTTCGGCATGGTTGAGTTGGACCAAAGGATCTATTTGTATGACTCTATGACTACTGAGCCCTAAAAGGCAAAACTTCAAAATATAACATCACTATCTCATCCCCAGTAATGAAATCTGATCAGCTGTTTGCTGGAAAATATTTGTTCTTGTGCCTACAACTCCCAGTACAGAAGAATCATTCTGTTCTGAGTTCTGGATTAGCTCAATATTTACAAATCTCTAGAGTCACCAATGTTTTTTCCAACCAGATATTGATGCAATTGATATATCTCCTTGGTCTCAATTTCTTTTCTTAGGTGTAGATTCTACACTTATTGGCAGTAAGAAATCAAAGAGTTTCTTTTGAACTAATTTCACCTGTAGCTTGTTTAGTTTAATTGTACATTCTTCTATGCTTACATTCTTCAATTAACCTAAATTATGTGATTCAAGTATCAAAACTTTAAAACATAGAAAGCACCTGAAAATAGTATTTGGTTTAGGCTGAGTTTTTTGGAAAAGACATCTAGCAGATTTATCCTCAGAACAAGAGATTCCTCAAGATTTATCCAGCTTTGATGAAACAAATTCAGAAAACCCTGTAAGATTCCAACAGAAAACGGTAAGAAATAGTGTGCACACAGGAAAATACCTGTCGGTTGTCACCCCTGTGGATTTTACAGCGATGTGATACTTTGTTCAATTCCAGATTCTTTAAGAGTGCAGCAACTGCATGTGGATTCCACTCGCAGGCATGGACAAATGCTGCACCCGCATGTATGAGAAATGGTAATGTAAAATAACCAATACCTGCAGAAGCAGAATTAATTGCGGGATTTTATCAGTCACATTTGCTTTAAATGAATGAGACCAAACTACCAGTACACATGATTCACAAAATAAGATGCTATGCATGTCATATATGATAGTCTCTGAGTATCTTTACACAATACTAGTTTTCAATTGAAATACTCATATACCAGGATCCTATACTATTGGAGTAACTAAACTTCAAAAGTAAGCAACGGCTGTAAAGCACAAAGGGACAACTTGTGACACTGAAAGGTGCTATTAAAATGCTAGTCTCTCTATTTCAATAAAATGTCATACTGGTGAGTAAAGTATCTTTTCTGAGGCTATTATCATCCAAAAACCTAGCTTACACAGCACTTCTGTCATTAGCAGTATCTTGGTGACAATAAAAACACAGGAGATCTTGCCATTGATAATAGCATATCCCACTTGTTTTGATCATTGATATGTATGAATCTGGCTACTGACTGACTCGCTGATGAAGTGTAAAGAGACTCAAAAGCAAATCCATATGCATATTTGAAGTTGTAAAGGTCGATTTGAAACTTCCCTGCAATATAAACAGGATGATTTAAACAGCATCCACCAAGCCAGGAACCAGTACTGCAGGACAGCCTTCCTGAAAGAGTTCTGCAAAATAGCTGTATTTTTGTCTAATAACCTTGGACTCAAAGAAGCAGCACACAGGGAACTTTATTCCAAATTATTTGGCTGTAGCCCTTGACTTGGGAAGAGTGTGTGCACGTGTGTTGGTGACACTGTGCACAGAAACGCATAAAATGCTCTGTTCTCCAATCATGACTGTCCTCACCTTTAGCACTAAAGAAAACTCAAAATAAACAAAGAAGCTGATTATTCTAATAGTCTGCACATCATGTCAAGCTGCATGAATTTCTTACCAATGATATTTGGAGAGGGAAGGAAGTGCACAATAGATATCAAAACATCATAAATAATTATCATATATAGAATATACATACCCAAACTAAAATTACTTGTGTGTTCAAGCCAACATCTTCTGGAGTTTACACCAACACTTGTTTAAATACTGCTGTACATCATCAGGGACCTTTCATGAGATGATTTGCTGATGGTATGAGAGCTCAATTAACACAATGAGCTCAAAAAAGTAGACTCTCTAAAGTAAATTTTATCTATACCAACGTTAATTGACCACCCTTGCTCTTTTGAGCAAAATTACATTCTGTAAGTACCAATTGGCTAAATGAGTTGATGAAATGAAAATAGTTTTCCTTCAAGTTACCAGTCCCTGGAATGTTGCAAAAATGGAATGTTGCTCCCCTCTTTACAGTAGGGTATTATAAGATCATACTTCACAGACTGAGACCACTCAAACCCATTGTGTTCATTTGAGCAACTCTCAATGTTACCTGCATACAGGTCCACAACCACCTCTCCTGTACAATCAAAAGAGCTGACTCGAAGCTTCTCTGTGATGTTTCCTGAGGAGAACATGCATTTGGTGACATCAAATGTGTACCTTCAAAATAACATGAGGCGCATTACAGTATTAGAGGTACAGCCATATCAACTCTTGATCACTTCAAGAAATAACAATCATTTTCAGAAAAGAATATAAATGCAAATTACAGCGTATCCCCACTACATGTTGGCAGATAACAGAAGCAGTACCCAAATCATGTGGCCGAGAAAGTGCATAAAGTTGCAGCAATACTGAAAAATACTCAACAGATAGAGACATTACTCCAACAGAATCATCATTAACAAGCAATACCATCCACAGAACAAACCTCATGGTCTATATGGAGCATAATAGCATACTGTTCTGGTCACCACATTACCAGAAGAACGTGGATGCTTTGGGAGACAGTACAGAAAAGGTTTACCAGGATGTTGCCTTGTCTGGGGAATTTTAACTATGAAGAAAGATTGACCAGACTGGGTTTGTTTGCATTGGAATGCAGGAGATTGAGGGGCGACCTAATAGAAGTTTATAAGATTGTGAATCTCATGGAGAGTGGAAATTTTGAGGCTTTTTCCTAGGGTGGAGGGGTCAATTACTAGGAGACACAGATTCAAGGTGCAGGGGAGAAAGTTTAAAAGAGATGTGAGAAGCAAGTTTTTCACACAAGGGTGCTAAATGCCTGGAGTGTGCTGCCAGAGGAGGTGGTCGAAGCAGACACAATAGCAGCATTCAAGAAACACCTGGATGAACACATGAATAGGAAGGGAATCCAGGGATATGGATCCTGTAAGTGAAGACAGTTTTAGTATGGAAGGGCAAGCTTGGAGGACTGAAGGGCCTATTCCTGTGCTGTTCTGGCCTTTGTTCTTTGTTCATATGATGTAGGGGTCACTTCCTACCACTTAAAGTCTTGACTTCTAGCATGAGATTTGGAGTCTGACAACGACTGGATCCGATGTTCAAAAGACACATATTCCCAAATTAGTACTCAAATGCTACTGAGCTCCTTTATTTAGATTGACAATTGTTGAACGAACATCTTGAAATGAGAAATTATATTGAGCTTCCATTTGCATGCTTCAATGAACATGAGAGACCCCATGTTGTTATCTGTAGAGGAGGAGGGAGCTTTCCAGTACACTGGTCAACTATCTGCCTTCAGGCATCACATCAAATGCATGTATTCTGATAATGCACTAAGTTGCTTCTTCAGGGTATTGCTGTGTGAAAATGGTTATCCACATTTGCTTAATTAACAATATCTTTAACAACAACAACAAAAACAAAGTTGCTGGAAAATCTCAGCAGGTCTGGCAGCATCTGTGAGGAAAAAAAATCAGAGTTAACGTTTCGGGTCTGGTGACCCTTCATCAGAACTGCCCAGACCTGCTGAGCTTTTCCAGCAAATTTGTTTTTGTTCCTGATTTACAGCATCTGCAGTTCTTTCGGTTTTTATTTAACAATATATTTACTTCAGAAGTGCTTAATTTTTTACTTAACTTTTTTAAAATTTATTCACAGTATGTGGGCTTTGCTAGCTAGGCCAGCACTTATTGCCCGTCCCAGTTACCCAGAGGACAGTTAAGAGTCATCCACATTGCTATGGGCCAGACCAGGTAAGGATGGCAGTTTCCCTACCTAAAGGACATTGTGAACCAGATGGGTTTTTATGACAATCGACAATGGATTGACGATCATCATCAGACTTTAAATTTCAGATTTTTTTTATTGATTTCGAATTCCACCATCTTCCATGGTGGGATTTGAACCAAGGTCTCTGGATTAACAGTCTAGCGATAATACCACCAGGCAATTGCTTTCCCATCATTAATTTAACCGAAAGTAGCTTGGTACATTCTGAGGATGAGAAAATCAATCAATTTATGTCTTTTTGTTTAAAAACAATCCAGTGTATTAAATTGTGTTATATGTTGAAGAGGTAACAGTGGGGGCAAGTCTATATTGCAGTGATGATAATTCCCTGGAGTTCCGAAGAAATGTCCTCTTGTTTCTCTTCCATAGATGTTACCAGACACACTAGGCACTTCCAGGATTTTCGGTTGTTAATTCCTGAAGAGGTCAATTCTAAACTTGGTGCTTGGTGATTTCTCAGTGAGTTAATTCACTGAGCAGCTTAGCCATGAAGATTTGACCTCCAATTCTCAATTTGAGAGGAATAGGCATCATCTCAGTTTTAGAGTTGTAGGGGTCCTCGGTAAATAGAGTGTGAAATGAGAATAGGATTGAGTTTACCATGATGTTCCCATGATTGAAAGCAACAAGACAATGCCCTGAGCAGACTATCAATCAGCTGCAAGACAAGCAGCTTTACTAGGAAGTCAATAACTGTAACAGACTGTAGAGAGTGAATCAGATCAAAGCTTTACAGCACTACCACATCCAAAAGCAAAATATTCCAGATGCTGAAATCTGAAATAAAAAGAAAAAAGCATGCAGGAAGTATTCAGTACATCTAGCAGTATCCATGGAGAAAGAAATAGAGTTAATGCTTCTGGTCATTGAGCTTTCAGGAAAACCCATCAGCTTGAAATATTCACTTATTTCTCTCTATATAGGTTCTGCTAGGCCTGCTGAATACTCCTGGCATTTTCTGTCCTCACCTCAGTTATAACAATAAGATAATAAACCGGGGACTCCATGATTAGTCTCATCCTTGATGATAGAAGATGCTCAGCGCACAAATGCAAAAAACAACCCTGAGACATTTGTGACCATCTTCAGCTGGAAGAACTGAGTGTAAAATCTGTCCTCACCTGTCAGTATTCAACTAGTAAAGGTTTCGCCCCCGGCAAAATTTCAGCTGCAGTACTGAAAAATTGTGCTCTAGAATTAGCTGTGCCTTCAATCAGTATATTCAAAGCACTGATGTCTAGCCAAAGTAAAAAAAAATGTATATCCTGTCCACAAAGTGGAAGACAAATCTAATGCAACGAAATACAGACTCATCTTTCAACACCCAATCATCATCAAAGAAATCGAAGATAGTGCTGACAATGTTTCAAGCAACATTAATTCACCAATAACCTGTCCACTGACGCTCACTTTCGATTAGGCCAAGAAATCTTAGCTCCAAATTCTTTACAACTTTGGTATAAAACTGGCTAATAAGTTATAAGATGAGATGGATGGCCCATGGCATCAAGGCTTCATGTCAAGAAAGAGGGTGAGATTGAAATGAACTGGAATCAAGGGAAAATTCTCCATTGGTTGGAGTCATACTCTAATAACAGCAGCAGGCAGATGGTAACACCATCATCTCCAAGCTCCCTTTCAAATCTCACACCAACCTGAATTGGAAATATATTACAATTCCTTCAGCATCACTAGATCAAATCCTGGAACTCCCTACTTAACTGCACTGTGGGAATATATTCACTGCATGGTCTGTAATTGTTCATGTTGGCTCACCAACTCAAGGAACATTTAGAGATGGGAAATGAAGCCTGACTTTGCCAATGTTGCTTATATCTTGTTGACTTTTAGAGAAAGGATGTTAGGAGACTTTATGCTATTTACATCCTTGGTCATCATTCCTGTTATAAATCTTCCTTTAGGATGCAGTCTCCGGTCAGGGTAATTTTATTTTCACAATCACCAATTCACTCCTGGGGTAGAAATGGTTTGTGGTTTTTAAAGTTAAAATAGCTAACTGCTTACTTGAGGTAAGTTCATTCCACTTTGGCCACATCATTCATTAATAGTTCAGCACAGACCAATGAGACAAGACAGATTGGAGTGCAAGGAGAAACAACTTGCTTCTCCAAATCGGTGATGTTGAAACTGGCCACTAGGAGACAAGACTGGAGATGAGGAAGGGTCACTTGACCCAAAAGGTCAACTCTGATTTCTCTCCAGAGATGCTCCCACATCTGCTGAGCTTTTCCAGCAATTTCTATTTTTCGTTGGTGATGACTCTCACTCCCTTTCCTCTAATAAGGAAACACATACCTATTGCTTGAAAGCTTGTCATAATTACTATGTATCAAACTGAACCTTCACCCCATCACAACATAGCCTAGTTGATTGGATGGCTGGTTTGTGATGCAGAGTGATGCCAACTTTGTGGGTTCAATTCCAACACCTGTTGAGATTACTGTGAAGGAGTCTCCTTCTCAACCTCTCGCTATGCCTCAGGCATAGCGACCCTCAGGTTAAACCACCACCGGTCGTCTCTCTCTAATTAGAGAGCAGGCCTATAGTCTGGTAGAGCTAAGGCTACTTTATAAGTTTATGGCACATATATTAATGCTAGATTATACCACTAACGTTTAACAATTGCTCCACTTATTTCCCCACCACGTTATTCACAAAAGTGGAGCAGAATTTTTAAGGTTTTGCCTCTTATAGAATTCTTTCTATATTTTGTGCCCTTTTGTGTTTAATTGCACTTGCACCGTACAGTGCTGCTCTCAACTTTCAGCTGGAAGTTAACACAGAGGCCAAGAGTAAGTCACTACAAAAACAAAGTTACTGGAAAAGCTCAGCAGGTCTG